CGGCACGGAGCTTGGGGCTTGGGGTGCTGCGGGTGCTTCAAGTGCCCTCAGAAGCCTGGGGGAGGTGGAGGTGGACAAGTGCGGGTGGAGACAGGCGGTCAGTCCCCGGCGCAGCCTCTACCTAGACCTGGCTCCGCGGGCCTGCGCGCTTCCCCCCTCCCGCCTGCTCGCCAGTTCGCGCCGTTCCGCAGCGGCCTCGTAGGGCACCAGATACAAGCCCTCGTTTTAAAGGATTGGAAACCTTGGCCTAGAGAAAGCAGGTGACTTCAGTCAAGGTCATCGGCGTCTGAGGGCCGAGTCCCGCGTGGCCTCCCACTCCCTCGGGCCACTCCGGGCACAGAAGGCGGTCTCTTCCCCCGGAAACCGAGGCCGGCCAAGGGCGCAGGTGGAGGGCGGCAGGGGCGCGCCCCCGGTGGCCCCGCGGGAAAATGCCGGCGGACTCAGGTCCGGGGGAGCGCCGGGACGTGCGCGTCAGCTTTCGGTGCGCGCGGGAGAGCCGGGTCCCCCCTCCCCGGCCCCCACGTCTCCCGCACCCCCCTCCCACCCTGCGCCCGCGGCCCGCGCAGGCTTCGCCGCCCAGCAGCGCTGCGGAGCAGTGCAGTGCCCGGGGCGGGAGGGCGCAGCTGGGCAGGGGGCGCGCAAGAACCGAACTGCGGAGGAGGGAGCGGAGAGCGGGGTGGGAGGGGGGGGAAGAAGGAGGGGAGGACTAGGAGAGAGCCGGGCGAGGGGCCGGGGAGGAAGGCTCGGGCGCGGAGCTCCCCGGCCGCCTCCTCGAAGGCTGGCCGGCTGCCGGGGCTCCCGGCTCCGCCGATCCGCGGGGCCGGCCCAGGCCAGAGCGCGGCGCCGACGGAAGGTCAGGCGCGGTCAGGCAGCCGCGGGGTTCCAGGAGCTCGCGGCCGCGCCCGGGGCCCACCGCCCTCCGAGCTCCGGAAGCGGGGCCCTGCGCCCGCGCGGACGCGCCCCTTCCCCGCCGACCCGCGGCCCTTACGCGCGCTGACCTGCGGAGCCTTGGCCACACGCCCCCACTCACCGGCCTGGACTCTGCACGTATCCCGGGCAACCTCTGCCTACTACTACGTCTGCTCACCGTCCCCCAAAACCTTTTCACCCGCCTGCCAACGCCTTACCAGGAGCAGCTTCTAGTTGTAGCTCGAGACCGGTGTACTTTTACCCACCTCCCGGCCCAGCCTGCAGCCACTCACCAGACCTACAGGTCCTCAGCCGCCGCAGTTGCCCGGAGATGACACGAGTCTCTGTCGCTTTCGCCTGCTGAAGTCTCGGAATGCGGCCACTTTCCTGCGCTCCGGGCACGCACGAAAAACGGACAACTCAAAATCACCGAACTGCCTCTTTAACGCCTTGTCAGCCTCTGCCGTAGACTGGCAAAGGGCAGATCCTGCTCTGATTTGGGTTTCTTTAAAAAAATAAATAAATAAATACGTGTGAGGGGCAAGGAAATAGTAGTTACTATTTTCAAGTGAGTCTTGGTGCAGCCCCCAAACTTACCCTGATACTAGGTCATTCGACCTCCAAAACATCCCGGTTGCCTGTGGGTGCGGAACTCTATTGTTTGTCCACGCCAAGTCCTGACCCCACAAACGCATAGCTGTTCTGGGAGCACAGTTCACACCTGCCCATCTCTCACCTTCTGGGCGACCTGTGTCAATCTCCTCCTGGATGCGCTCCCCAGAGAATAACAGGACGGTGGGGGAGGGAGGTCATTTACAGAGTAAATAAAGGTCAGCGGGAGGGAGGAAAGGACACGCTTTCTTTTGAAACCTCACGAGCATTCTGTTCTGTTCCCCTCCCGGCCTGAAGAGCGTCCGTTCCTTACACTGGCCAGATGCTAACACCAAATTCAAGCACCTTTCCCTTAAAAGTGATGTAATCCTAAAGAGCTGTAAAGGGCAATGATCTCTTCAAGTGCGAATTTTTCACCCAAGTACACTAACGGATCTGCACCGCCGTGTATGGGATGCAACAAAGCATCATGTAGCTAAAGTGCTGGAAAAATGTAGACACGGCAAAGCCCTCCCAAACGTACACCCTGAGCCCGAAAATTATGAATAGTGCATGTATTTCACACTGCCGTGCACAACAAGAAACAGCAAAAACAGGGGGAAATGTTATTTATTTTAGTGACACCAACAACACCAATCCCAGCATTTACTAAACCAAAATCACGGTTTTTTAAACATACTCAGTGGTTCAAATTGTGTCTCTGGCGTTGTTACACCTTCGGTAAAATTATGGAAGACAGTAACATGTCACTTGAGCAAATTTTTTTATTTAAAAATAAATAACGTAAATAAGTAACAAATGTTTTCATGCCACAACATTTGTGTTTCTTAGCTTGGTTCCTTCTGTTATGTAAAACAGTCCAGGACTTACTTTTTTAAGAGAATTTCATGTCTTCAAGTGAAGATCATTGCCACAGTAATATCTATACAGTCCTCTAAGCAAACACATATCTTTTCTAATCTCATTCAACTCACAAGTAAAAGAATATGTAAAGAACAAATGGAAAGATTTTTTTTTTCTCCTCCATCCTGGTGCAAAGTGTAACAAGCTCCAATTAGGTTCAGTATTAACCGTCCAGGGAAATGACCGCGCGATTTCCAGACACTCTCCCAAAGATGCCTTCTCATTTCTCGCCTGACTTTAGTCCTCTAACTGAACCACCTTTTTTTTTTTTTTTTT